ATATACATGTGTATTTATTTAAATATTCATAAGTATACAAAATATTAACAAATATATAAGTACTTACGCTGGCTTTAGATCCAATGTCTTCCATTTTAAATTCAAATAAACGAAATGTGTACATACACACATCAAAATACAGTTGTCACCAGCTCAAAGGCAAGTGAGAAAAATAATCGACAATACTTCGTTTCATTTGGTTACAGAAACAAATTCACTCGAGTATTCCTACTGAAATGGAATGAAACACGTCAGTCGAAGATCCAGCGTTGTCGACCAATTCGACTCATTTTCTTACAGAAACATAACAAGTGAGAATGACGTCAAATTACATCAAATCGCCTATTTCAATCGAGAACATTGATCGAGACGAGTTACAGAAACGCACCACTGGTCATTTTCGAACTAGTTCAGTTTCTGTTAGGAAATTGTAGTTGTAAACTAGTATTTTTCCTGACTAGTTTGGGGTTTTCCTGCAGGGATAAATATAACTACTGCGTAAACTCACCACCCTGCAAGAAGCCTGACCTAGGATTATCGGTTAAATTAGTGGGAAAACTGAATAAAACTTTTTGTCAGTTTAGCGGTTAGTTTTGTATGGGTTTGGGGAAAAGAGTAACCACTTCTCCGGGCCTGTGATAGTCTATCCCTTTCTTGCACACACATGGGCGTATTTGCCTTACAGTATGTTCACTCGCTCATACATGTCATCTAGTTGGTGATGTACAAGTGAATTTAGCGATGAAACTATTGGGAAAATATCACGATAATTAATGATTTTTCTGACCACTATTCTAACTTCTAAATAATTGATAAATTAGTGAATAGATGGTAGCGAAATATCCAAAAATACATGAAACCAAATTAAAAATACAATTTGAGTTTGTTTATGTGTGTTTTTGTTTTATTTGTAAAAATATATTGTCAAATATTAGCTTAATTTCGCAAGCTTTTTCAGAGCTACTGAGCTCTGACAATTCTTCTAGTTTTTCATCAGGGTCCGAATTTTCGTCGCTAAAAACAAATTCCTCAGCGCCGTTTGGTCCTTCTGCCTCCATTTCTAGGTTCTCCTGGAATCCCACGTTGGCGTTGCATTGTATTTCAGCACTGTAGTCACTGCCTCCACAGTCGGCCTAAACGCACTGCCCTCAAATTTTTTCTCTCTACCCATATAGAGGGAAAAAAGGTTTTTTTGTTCATTTTTATACACAAATTAAATACACTGATTCTTATCAATTGTTTCTTTAAATTCATCGACATCTATATTTTGCACCACATCTAACAATGAAATAAAATTTTTATTGATGTATGTATGCACATATGTACTTGAGCGTACAATCGATAGTTTCTTTTCGATATGGTCAGCCGTTTTTTGCAGGGCATTGGATAAACATCGGAGCGCTATCGATAGTGTCGATGTTTTAATCGTTTTTTAAAAACATCGATGTTTTTCTACTATCGATGTTTTTAGGAGATNTTTTAACATAAAAGCGTACGAATAAGTGTTTAAGTAAGTTACTACTCATAAAAATAATTTTGTCAGTGTCATTCGATCTCTAAAAGGGAAAATAAAAACTAAAAAACTGAAGAGTTTCTTAGATTATTGCCTTAAAGAGCAAATATTTTATTCATTTAATAAGGCATTAATTGTAACACAAATGAATTGTGTTGTTGCCTTATGAATATTTTTATATAACTTTTATTTTTCATTAAGTTAATGCATAACTTCCAGTCATGAATATGAATATATTATGTGACCTTAAATATAAGTCAAATGAATTGGCAATAGATTTATTAATACATATTTATTGTAAATTAATGAATGGATAACTTTAAAGTAATAAATGTAATATGTTAAAAAATTATAATATTTATTAATTGACCAGGGGTTGATTCTGACAAAATATTTTTTTATTTTCAGTTTTATTTCAACATAGATTTATTAAAAGAAAAATACTGATAAAAATGAAATATTTCACCCCTAAAGGGTTGAAATTTTGAAACTCCTGCCCGTATTTTGTTTGCAAGTCAAATATTAATGGTATTGTGCTACTATTTTTTTTTTGACAACTTTTAAAATATTATTTTTGTTGTTATTTAATTTTGGTTAGTTTTTTATATTTCAGTCCTTAACAACATCCGTATAAATACAGTACAAGTTTCAAATGGCTAAAAATTACGGTTGATTTTTTAGAATTTCTACAAAACCTCGAAATTTGTACGAATGTTTGTTGAACTTTTTTAATATTGCACAAAGTTGGAAATTTGGATTTACACGGGTTTTGTTAAAGATTGAACACCTACAACCAAAATTAAAATTGTTTGCGAACTACACGTAAAAATACTCATTTGTAGCGGTAAGATGAAAATTTTGCACAAGAAAATTAACAAACGCAGCTTGAGTTGGAGTTTACTTGCATAGGGCAATTTGAAGCCAAAATCATTTGTTTTGTTTGAATGAATTCAGGCAAGCCTTCTAATATACAAGCAAACATATTGCACAAAAACGTATACATACTTTATTTAAAACGTAAGCTACACTTTTTCAAGTAAATTTGCAAAGAAGCAACACGGGACACTGCTAAGGGAGCGGTGAGAGAGAGACAACGGTCTCTTTATCGAACTTTTACTTATTGAATCATGCACAGGGTTGCCACTGACAAAAAAAAATGTTTACCATCCATTTGAGAAAAATCTACCATATCTGGAAAATATCTACCAATAAATTTTTTATAGATTTTTTAATAAAAACTATAATTTTGTTATTACAACGCTTTTATCAACTTGCAATGTTGTGTGTCCAGAAAATTTTCTCTGTCAAAATGCTTATTTTACCCCATCTTTCAATGGGTCCCCCTCCGTCTCCGCTCCTCACCACAAAACCATTGCACAAATAACCGAACATTTCCCATTTTGTTTTTGAGAGAGAAGAGGTCTAATACTCAATAAGTTGATGATTGTGTTTCTAATTTTCATACTAACAATAAATCATCAATTTTGTTTCACCCCCCTTCCAATATTGAACAGTAAAATATATTTATTTTCACCAGAAGAAACAACGATATTGTCGAAATATACAAGAATTGGATAATACTCACTTCTCCGAAAGTCATGAGGCCTATCGGTCCTAAAGTAAATTCCGTTTTCAAGTTACTTGAAAGACATGGGCAAAGACAATATCGAAATGTGTAATTTCAGTGTCTATCGAAAACAATCCTGGCTAGCTACATTGTGTAATAATCAGATGACATAATGGCACTAAAAAAATTGTAAAATATGTTCACTAAAATTTTATTAATACTTCGAATTTTTTACAATTGAGCAATTGCCAAAAATCTCCTTTTTAATCAAAAAGTTGCTTATTGAAACTACTTTCTTTTTTGTATCATGGGTTGCAGTTACCTTATATGTCTCTATGAGCCGGCTTTCACACAATGTGGGTAGTAAAATTAGTGGCTAACTTGTTAACAACTTGTGTACATTCCATCGCCAATTTTGATGTAAAATTGTAATTGTTTAGAATGTTTGTGTGAACAACTAAATGCACTGTCAAAATGGAAGTACACCACCATTTTGAAAGTACATTAAGTTCATGATCGGGGTTGCCACTTCGGTAAATTGTTACCAAAATTGGTAGAAAAAATTCGGGTTAGTAAAATGGTAAATTTTTTCTCATTTTGGTAGATTTTTGTTAAACTTTTCGTTCTCGATTTATTTTTCGTAGTTATCTTTATTTTAAAAATTTCTTGCATAGTTTTTATATACTTACATACGTGTAAACGTATATCGATATAAGGCGAACATATCGTGCTCCATTCAAAACTAATTTTCTTCAAATTGTTCTTCAAATTCAGAGTAAAAATTCGAATATTTGACGAAATTTTTTTTAATTTTTCTAAATGTTGTATACAGTTTGAATCCTTAATTTTTATGGATTTAGTTAAAGCAACAAAAAAATTTTACATGAAAAACATAGCGAATAATAAAAAAATCACCAAGTGCCTTTTTGAGTCTGTATATACATATATATATATATATAAAAAGGCATATATATATATGTACATACAGACTCGAGTCTATAATAACTCGAGTTGAATTTTTCAAATTATGAAGTTTCGTTGTTGCCTTTAGTTTCATCACTTCCGCTTTTGGTTGAAGGAAACTGCGAATATGCCTCAAATACCGTATAATTAGTTAAATAATAATTTCCTTAAAAACAATTTTAATTCTTATTGAAATAACTAAAAAAAATAAAAAACTATAGTTTTAATTAAAATAAACAAAAAATAAATAATATAAAAAAAACTTTTTAATATACAACGCTTTTATAAATGGACTAAAAAGTAGAAAATAACATTTCTCAGTCCCATAGAATTTGTTTTGATAACTTTCGATTTTGAAATTTTAGCAAAAGTCATTATAAACAATCTATGAAATTGAAAATGAAAAACGTGGAGCGCATGCAATACAAAGAGCGGTCGTTATTCATATACCCACATACATACATACATACATTACTTTTCATATCAATTCAAGTGTATTACATGCGCCCCACGCTTTTCATTTTCAATTTCATAG